GTGAAGCGCTACGAGATCCAGCAGCGCGCCCGGTACATGTGCACTTTCTGCGGCAAGGAGAACGTGAAGCGTGAAGCAGGTGGCATCTGGAAGTGCAACTCCAAGACCTGCAACAAAGTCATGGCGGGTGGCTGCTGGACCCTGACCACGGGCCCCGCTGCCACGGTGCGCGCCACCATCGCGCGTCTCAAGAAGCAGCAGGCCGGCGGCGTCGACGAGTAAATGAGAGGCTGAAAGCATGAACGAACATCGTCTGAGCAGCACGCCATCCGTCAAAAATTGCCTGCAGCTATCGTGTCTTACCAACTTATGGCCATGGTCTTCTGCACAGCACTCAGCAGCGAGCGTCATAGCTAGCATTGGACAGCTCTGGACTCTCCAGACTGCCACGCGCTTGCACGGTTTCGTTGTTGAGGAAATCCATCCTGGTCACATAATGTCCGAGGTGTGTCATGATGCGGTCTATTTTTCTAAACAGCATGCCAAGAGCCCAGCCGCTGGCAAAGTGGCAGCAGCACAGCCTAACAACATGTAGTCATGTCTCCATCTTCTACTTTCCCTGGCGCAGTAGACCCACAATGACCTACATGCAGGCGCTGCGCACGAACACTGTTCGGGAATGTTCGCTTGATGCCATTTTTTAGTTCGTCAGCTGTTCCGTTCCTGAGAGAGTGGCTTGTTGCTCCTGCAGATGAGTAGTGTCTGCATTTGTGGCCGTGTGCCTCGAATCAGGGATTTCGTAGTTATGATCCACCACCGTCCCCCGGTACTTGCATGTGCGATCCAGCAATGTTCCCTGGACATGTGCGCTTTCTGCGACAGCGGGAACGTGAAGTGCGACGCGGGTGGCATCTGGAAGTGCAACTCCAAGTCCTGCAACAAAGTCATGGCGGGTGGCTGCTGGACCGCTGGACCCCGACCACGGGCCCCGCTGCCACGGTGCGCGCCACCATCGCGCGTCTCAACAGCAGCCCGATGTCCCGGAGTGAGAGGCAGACTCCAAAAGCATAGCCAAAGCCGAACCATCATCCAGGCAGAGAGAAAAGCATGGCTCGTGAAGAGATCTTCCCTGCTTGTTTCGAGTTGTGCGAGTGCTGCTCAGGAGTCCAATGTACATAATATGATGTGTGTTGTCCAGCAGTTTTCGGATGTAGCACAATCGCAGGCACAAAGCCGTCTCAGTGTTTGGGCTAGTATCTGCTTTACCGATCTCTCCCCTTTGCCGACGCGACACCTCCCTCTCGCTTGCAGGTTGCCGGGCAAAAGGACGCATCGTGGGACCTCCAGCAGCTGAAGCAGGTGGGCCTTCTCGGGGCCCTCGTCGCCTTGTGGGTCTGTTGAAGGGAGGTTTCCCAGAGAACCCAATACCCCTTAATTCAGGAATATTCCTTAAGTCATGATATTAAGGGCCCCTATAGTTTAAGGTATATTCCTTAATTAAGGTGTATTGGGTTCCCTGGGCCTGCCTTGGCCCAGGATCGTCTGGCAGGTTTCCTGAGTTGCATGGTGTTGCAGTATTGCAGGAGGGATGTCTTGAGTCTTGAAGTGAGGTTGTCGGTGACCCTGAATCCTAATCGCCCTAAACCAAACCCTAAACCCCAAACCCTAAACCCTAAACCCTGAACGGTTTAGGGGTTTAGGGTTTAGGGTTTAGGGGCCCCAACCCCTAGGAGGGGTTGCCCACAGTTCCAGCTTGTACGATTTACGGCCTCGAATAGTGTAAAGGAATTCAGCTTGCCAGGCTAGGGTAGAGAGATTCGGTTCTTGGCATTGGGCCTAGGTTTCCTCGTGCTACAGTATATTCGTACGTGATATGATCTTACTTATAGTGTATGAAAGTACATTGAAGTAGTACAGTATATTGTTGAATACTGTAATATATTTTTTTATAGTGAGTTTGTATAGTGCGGGTATCTCGTCCGGTCGACATTTCTAAGCATACCACGCGCACGTGCTGATGCCTCGTCTCGCAATTGTGTTATCTACTCTCGATAAGCCTTGAGTGCAGCACGCCAGGATAGGTACCAGGTAGTGCTTTGTCCTTACCGTAATATAAATCATACCAATACAATAATAATAATAACAATCGTTGAGGAATGGGGTTGACTCTGTAGCCTGTGGCCGGCCTGTCCAGGAGGTTCAGATCATCGCGAGCCGAACGGACAAGACGGAAGTGCAGCTGCAGGTGCCGCTGTCGGTGGTCTGGTGGTGTACCCAGAGAACCCAATACCCCTTAATTAAGGAATATACCTTAAATCATAATATGAAGGCCCCTACAATTCAAGGTAGATTCCTGAATTAAGGTATATTGGGTTCTCTGGGTAGGGGACCCAGAGACCTTATAGGCAGGTGAGTTGTAGGAGAGCCACGCTTAGGATACTTATAACTGTACTGTACTTGTAACCTGCGACTTTTCATCAAGTGACAAGGTCGTCTAAGTACTAGTTACTACTTGGCGGTTCATGGGTAGTTATAAGTAGGGTTATAAGCAGGATAACCTAGAGTTATAACCCAAGTTAAAGGACTTATAACTCCACTTATAGCTACCCATGAACCTCCAAGTAAGGGATTCACTTTCAGTTACCATAACAAAAAAGCCACAGGGGCAGTTCTCTAGATTGTGGTATATTCCCTATTATGGGTCATGCAGGTTGTTTTTCATCAACCGTAGTTTTACTAGGTAGGTCTCGAGGATCTTCGGCCGCCTGGAGGCCTCGGTGAATGCGATCTTGGCCCAGCTGAGCTCCGTGCAGCTCTCGCAGCAGGCAAAGGCTAGGTGCCCCAGTAGTACCCTTTTGCCCTTTTTAGTTTGGGGTCCCCTTATCAAAACCGAATCTTAGGAAAAAGGGTACCCTTATTGTTAAGGGGTTACTCTCGCAGCAGGCAAAGGAAATGAAAAACAAAGCCATCTCCAGAGAGCCCAATACCCCTTAATTAAGGAATATACCTTAAAACATAATGTCAAGGCCCCTATAATT